TCAAAGCACTGTGCTTGGGGTCATTGTCCTTAGAATTTAAAATCGTTATGAAGGTTCAATTTTCGTGCTGAAGATTTCAAATTTTGATTTAAAATGTCAATATACTTGTACTGATCCATTATACTGTCAATAAAAACAAGATTCCCAACTCCAGAGGACGACATACACCCCCATACCATAACTCCTCCTCCACCATGTTTTACTGTTGGCACCAAGTTCTGTTTGCGAAATTTTTCCCTGGGTTTTCTCCACACCAAGATTCTACCGTCAGAACCAAATATATTAAATTTACTCTCATCAGCAAATATAACTTCATTCCAGTAATCAGAATTCTTATTTATGTTGGATTTTGCAAAAGCCAGTCTGAGTTTTCTATTCTTTTCACTTACGAAGAATTTTTTCCGGGCTGCTCTACCGTGATATCCAGTAGATCGAATTACTCTTCTAATAGTCTCAAAATTAACAATTACTCCATATAATGCTTGTAAATCAGCAGCAACTTTAGGAGCACTCATTCTTGGATTTTTTTTAAATATTTCGAACAATAATTCGCTTTATTCCATTGGATAGCTTTGATGGTCGGCCAGGTCTTCTTTTATCCTGAATCATATGATTCTTTTTATATCGTTTAATGATATTGAAAACTGTTGAATGACTCAGGCTAACTGTTTCAGTAGTTTTCTCTAATAGATTTTCCACGTTCAATATGCAAATTAATAACTAATTTTCGAATTCCAGGCAAAGTTTCTTTTCGTTTAGCATTCATGGCTGCACAGAGCTAAAAAAACACAAAAATTCCAAAACAAACTGGAGAGAAATACTGCAGACGATTTTATAAATTATTGGCAATTGCTTTTGAGTAAAAATAAATACCCCAAAAGATATTTTTATTGCTTACTTCAGACGATTTTTGTTGCATAGTACGTAGTGTCCCATCACTTAAGTGAGCCATTTTCTGCTCCGTTCTAAACAATTGTATTTTTATTAAATTAATATTTTAACATTTTGAGAAAATGTATGTTATGTAATAATTGTTACTAAATTTAAGTATGAAACACATCCACAAAAAATTTTACATGTTTTTTAAATTTATTTTATTGCAGTTTCCTTTTGTAAAGCACAAGTGTCCCATCACTTTTTTGAGACACTGTATGTTTATTCGTTCACGAGAATTCTTAAGCTGTACAAACAGTCACAAAAAGAAACATATTTTTTAATAAAGAAAGCTGGAATCTTTCGGACTCGAAATCGTTTGCGACTCAAATAGATTGATGCCGAGGCGTTTTATAGAATATGCGGTAAGCGTTGCCACATATTTTCTTAAATTATCATGAAAACCTTTAGAGAGCGTATATATGTATTTAAGTATCAAGGAATTGTGTCTAATAAGTCGTACATTCAGTTAAATGTCATAAATATAAATTTTATATTTTAAATAATGTAAATATTATTTAATTTTATATTAAATCGAAACATGGTATTTCAACATTTAAGGCGGACTCTCCTAGGCAACAAATAATAAAACAAATTATTTCAAACCAAGAATAATTTCGAACGCTTTTATTATGGCTTGCAAGATGATACGAGATCTCCATTTCGCTGTTTTCTCGAATTCAGTGCTGAAAGTTCTTTACTGAAAAGAAGTGGGCACAGCTGTTCCGAAAAGCGAAATAAGAGGGGTTGAAGACAATTAGATCAAAAGCACTCGCAAAGCTAGTCTAGTCTAAAATTTTTCCCTATTAAAAAAAAGACCAAAGCATGTATTGAATGATGAAGGTTTTTGTTCGATCAACTATTTTTCTTTTTCTCTCTTTGCTCTGTTGTCGTACAAGTTGGATACAAAAAAAAAAAAAAAAAAAAAAAAAAAAAAAAAAAAAAAAACTGTAAAAAACAAACTATGAGACTATTTCTCGAAGAATACATCAATGTTTAACAATACATGATATGGAGTTTGAAAAGAGTATAGCTTCCTGGGAAAAAATGTTGAAGAAATAACAGATAATATATATATTATGTTTTAATAGGAAGGGAAAATCTAAACTACATCATATATATTTAAATTCTGACATTAGATAAAACAGCTTAAAAACTGCAATCTGAAAACTTCAAACTATAAGTACATCTCAAAGAAGAATTTACCATAAAAATTTTTGATATTAAAAGTTTAAAACTCCAAAATACTATTAAAAATTAAAGAAAGAAACTTGCTTGTATAGTAGTAGCTTAAATTAGAAACATCTTTTATTAATTACAACAAAGCTGCAAATGTTTCTATATATTAAACGTATTTAATAGTAATAAAAAAACAAAAATCAAAATAATGATTTAAATTATTAAAAAGTACTCGTTTTTGCTTTCAAATCCTTCATTTATGAATCAATAACAAAATGATTACATATATATTGCGTTTTCCCGAGTTGCAACACAATTCTTTTATGTTGCCGAATTTTCTGATTAAATTTGAAACATATATATCTCGCACTTTGAAAAAAGGCAACAAAAAACTTTTAAATTGCTGAGTTTTCAATTAACAATTCATTAAATTAACGTAAAATATCTGTAGTATATAAAGAGCGCGGTTCCCCTGGGGCGGTTTTTGAGAAGTCTTATGTATATAGTAACATTCCTCTTGTTTAAAAGTGTGCTAAATTCTATTAAGATCGGAATAAAACTGTAGATTTGTATTAAGGACAAACACATTCTTCTTTATTTACATAGATAAGGAATTCGAGAACATTTTATAATTCGGATACGAAAAATTTAATTCCCTGTCTGGTATTGAGCGCAGTTCCCCGTTACAGCCATGGCTTAAGCTACCATTGGCAGCTGATACAGCAGACACTTGAAAGAAGTTTCTTGGACTAAGCAGTGCTATCAGCCCGGCACAGATATACACAGTTACCACATAGTACAGACAAAAGATCTGATTTGTTTTGGTCTAATAAAACGTTCATTCCCGAAGATCGGGCTCTGCAGTATAGCACAGTTCAAGAACCATTTTACGAGCCTTAGATCTAAGGTATCATGATTTAATGAACCATTCGCGGTTTTACCTTAATACGACATGTGTACATGGTTTACTCTTAAGACAAACGATGTAATTTCTGGTAGGATCAACCAGGTAATTTTTTACGTTCTTGAACGTTATAGATCTGTACCCAACTAGGAGCTGATCCTTCTAGCCCTCGGAAATAACCGCCAGTACCAATTATTTAAATCAAGGCTAGTCAACTAAAGATAACTATTAAAGTACTCCCTGCGTACGTGTCATACTTAATAGTTCTTTAACAGAATATGTTGGCAGAACCTAATGAGTTAAAGAAGTTAGCCATAGGCACAACCATTCACTACTGCCGTCAGCAACGCATCATTCTTTCCCCGACTTCATCAGGATCAATGGCTAGAAGAATGCCTTTTTCAAGAACTGAATAGAGCGTTTTTCTCACGCGTGATGGTAACCGAAAAAGGCACCGCTACAATTCACGCAATGAAAGAAATCTCTCTGACAAAGAAAGAAGCCACAAAGTCACGCCGGTGGTTAATTATCGGCGTTAATAGTTTTGCATTCATGTTTCTCATGGCTAACCATAAAACCTTTAAGTACTGACGAGCAACATACTTTCTCTTTTTTCTCACACTCTGAATATTGTCAACTCGTTGGAACAACATGGAAATGAGTTCTTTACCTTTGTAAAATGCACGAAATAATTAATTTAAACTGTTATGGATCACATTTTGGAGAGCTAAATTCGTTAATGATATTTTATCGTAGTAGCTTTCATTTTCATCTCTAATACTTAATGCATCATGTAGGTATAGTGTTTTAAAGTAAATGTCAGACTCAACTTTGAACTTACGCTGTAGGCATTTGATATTCATAGAGTCCATCCTTTACATTTTTGTTTTATATATGTTTGTTTTATACGCGGAATTTGAATGTTGTTAATTATCTGGTGTAATTACCTCAGTACTTGTTGCAAGATGACAACACTGAGATGAGATATAGGTAAAAATGCTGCATAGCTCAGGACTTATATATATTATAAGCGTAACTTATCTATCCCATGTCTCATACGAATAACCAGTTTATCCTTTGAATTCTATAATAATTAAACCATTGTATTTAAAACGCTATTGTCTGCCGCAGTATATGTTATTGGAGACTGAGAGCGCAATGTGTTTACAAGTTAGATTAGGCTAATTTATTAAGGAAAAGCAAGTAGAGGATTATCTATCTATGCGGAGGGGTGCCTTCTTGGAAAACTTTCTAAGAGAAGGAATTCTGGTTCGATTTTGCTTTACACATCAGGGAAATATCCATACAGCCAGTCCTTTTGACAGAATTTGAATCTTGGTTGGACTAATTGCTAATGTTCAGAAATCTTATCTAATAGGCCACTAGAAAAGATCCTGCCTGAAAATTGGAAAAACAGATTGAGGATGTTTCTACTCCACCTTAATTTTAGTTTGTCAATTTCTAACGAGATATAAGCTCATTTATATTTCTCAGTACTTTCGGCCTTACTTATAGATCTATTTATATGATCAGTTTTCTGGGATATGGTTAACAAAATAGTATATACATATGCATACAACTGTTTTACTTTTGCTGCATTTTTATCTAAGTTATTAGGAAAGAGGACAGGGCGTCAGATTACATTAGATTAATTGTTTATAGCAAAGCACTCCAAGGCTAGCTGCCTGAGTGAAGCCTTCGTGAAGGATTTTCTAATGGAAACTGGCTCGTATTCACATTACACATTGAGAAGACTCTTATGCATCAAGCCCGTTCACCAGGATTTGAGTCTGGCTAGAGCTGCTGGTGTTCAAAAATCTCACCGCTCCTAAGGAATTTAAACCTTTCTAAGTATAAAGTGAATTATATTTTTTAGCAATAACTTGCCAAAATAAATGCGTAAGGAAAATAAATTATACTATATGTATCAAACTTTTGTTACTTCATAGTCGTTGAAAATTAATGTTTTTACTTTCTATTTTAGGTAAGAGTTTCACATTGACGATCTCCATTAGCACTTCTCCTCCTCAAGTGGTTACTTACAATAAAGCCATCAAAGTTACAGTCGATGGACCTAGAGAACCTAGAAGTGAGTTAATCCCCTTGCTCTATTTCTCTGTTTTATATTTTTATTTTCAAAGAAATTAGAGACTGATATAAACGTAGTTCAACTTATTTTAGATTAGCTACTTTCTTTTCACTCTTTATTTATTAACTTTTCCGATGCTGTCCCTAAATACAGTGAATCATTTTCTCGTGAAAACCTACCTAGGGTGACCACTATTTCTGGGAACGTAAACAAACATCGTTGTTGAACATCACCTCCTTAAGACGATCATCTCCTTAGAAGATCAATATCATCTGAATTGAGGGGGAACCTCTTAAATAGGTTTCGCTGCCTTTTTTAAAAAGAGCTTTTACTGTATAGGCAGGAAAGCTGCTCTTGGAACCTTTAAGGTAGTTTCTGGTTGAATTTTTTATTTCTGTGGAAACTTTTCGAAATGTTGTGATTCTTTCTCCTCACAGAGTTAGATTTTGTTGCGAAAATCAGTAATCCTTAAGATCATTCAAAACTGGATTAAACATTAAGCAAATTAAGCACGTGTTTATGGCATCAGGGATGAGGGTCCCACAAAGGTTGGGGACCACAGAAAGTTATCCATGATAAAAATGGTTTACCATGGAATGTATGGTGCAGCTACATCAAGATCGAGAGAGAAAAAATCTTGAAAAAACAATTACTACATTCCAAATATATTATGTGGACGCACCAAAAATTTTTAAGGCCTTTAAAAATCTTAATCTGGCTCTGAGACCACTTGATGATGCAGAAACTTATATCTAAGTTATACTGTTGGCAAGAAAAAAGGTTAATTCTATGTTTATCAGTTATATTTTAGAGCTGACAGGTCTTCTGTCAACAAATAAAAGAAGGTGCCGCTTGTAAGCTGCAGGGTCACTGGACAATTGTGCAACAAAATGACGTACCAGAAGCTCCCTGTCAGCATTTTACAAAACAAAAACAGTGTTTGTTAATTAAAATACCCCAGTTTTGTAATATGCGAAGATTTCAAATTTACGATATGGTTAAAAGAATTTTTTTTTTTCATTTATAAAAATTAATCGCGTCTAAATAATTTAAAAACTGATAATGTAAAACCAAAGTGACACATTGTACTTATAAATGTCCCATTGCTTCACTCGCGAGAAATTAATCATAAGAAATTTCAGGAAAACTTTATTAGCAAGAAGATTGAAGATTAGAAACACTTGCAATCTGAAAGCTTCAGATTACAAGATACCGTGAAGATTTTTCCATTAAAATACAGAAGTATAAATAAAGTAATTAGAAAGATATTAAAATCATAAACTTAATGAGAAATTGCTATCTGATTCTGTATGCAAATAACAGTTTAATACCTGAAACAATTTTAAACTAAGCAGGTCTCTAAATTTAGAACTTAGTCCCTCAGAAGTGGTTGTAACCAATCTCACTTGTCTGACAGAGGTCAGCACAAGCCTACTACATTCATCGTGGTAAGGAGTTGTATGTCTCTGTCGTTGGCAAGAGCCTTGAGCATCATACAGGTGACAGCTCGATTCACCCCTCTTACCCTACCACCCACCTTTCGAGAGGAGTTTCGGCTCGTTGCATATTTAGAATGCCGCACAGATACTATACATTTATAAACCTACATCGATTAAACATCGATCTTGTTTCTGGGATTCGATCCCGGACCCTTCGGTGCGGCAGTCAGCTTCGGTAACCATTGTCCGGTTGGGCGGCACTGACGTTTTGTTAAAACCTAAAACGTTTCCTAGGGCACTGTATTCTCCAGTACTGAAGTAAACAAATTGTACTTAATGTGTATCTAATATAAAAAAAATCATACATGTTATGCTTTCAAAATATCATTATGCTTTTAGTACATCGAACTGCGGTACATAATTTTAAAAAATTGATAAAAATAAGAAAAATCAGTAATTTTAACTTATCTTCCCCTTTTGTTTCGCAGTTTCTTACATATTGAAGGACTTTTTTTTAATTCCAATGCGTATATTCTACAGGCGTTTCAAATGCAGATAATTTTGACCATTAGTGTAATCAAATTAATAGTTTGATTTAATATCCTTAAAATGTTTCAATTAAAAATTTCAAGCTACATTTAATGAGGAACCTTATTTCGACTTCTGGATAACTTTGAAGGGAAGATGTTCATTCTACTCAAAGAGACATTGATTAGTTTATTTACGTTATTTTAATAAAATACGTAATTAAAAATTTTAAAAAAATGTTTGTCAGCGTCTTCTCAATCGACTTCAGACTCTGTTCGAGTTTAGGAAAATAAAATCAGAAAAAAAAAAGTGCTCGTAATGCTGTTGTGAGTACCTAACTATCTTTATGAGGCAAAAAAAAAAAAAAAAAAAAAGCTACCTTTCTCTTTAAATACCGAGCTCTTTTACGATTTTCAGCCTAAATAAGGGTAAACCATACATCGAACCACATTCTTAGCCGAATCAGCCGAGCGTAATGTTCTAAATGAGGTAGAAAATAATTTTGCTTGAGAGGAAGAAACACAGGCGAGAAAACGATTTTAAAAAAATATAAAGAAGGGGAGAGTAGGGGGATCAAGAGGGAAAAACACGAAGAAAAGAAACACGAAGTAAAAAATCTTGGGCCATCAGGAACAAATTCTGCAACAAAATCGAAACACTCCGCTGTCATTAAATACTCATCTACAAAGCACATCGTCTGCGCGGAACGCAGTCGGCTGGATGTCACCGGTAAGTAGGGGAAAATGAGGGAAGGGGGAGGAGAAAGTAAACAAAAATAAAAATTTTGAATTTACAACTGCTACCGTGTATTAGTTTTCGGCGCTCAGAATGGCGGGTAAAAAAAAAAAAAAGTATTCAGTGTGCAAAGCAAAGAGGAACCAGAAAAAAGGAAGGCGGCAGTGGCAACGCGTGTTCTCTTTCCCCGCGAACAATTGCACGTGATCGTCTGCTGCCATAGAAAGCGCAAAAAGTGAAATCGATTCGGTGATTACCTCTCAAAAAATGTCATATGGACCACGGTTTTGGGGTCTTTTTCTGTAATTTTAGATCCTTTTTCACGTGCACGCTCCATTAAAGAGCAATTTGTCCAATTCGGTTGGAGAAGAAACTTCTCGTATCCGGCCGGTTAATGCGCGAAAATACAATGGAGCCTTTTTCCTTCTTTTGTTGTAGCACATATGGGAGAAAAATTGTTGGGGGTAATTATAGATGTGGGCGGGAGTTTCAGATTCGATCTATGAGCCTCGGTGAAAGTTAAAAACTGTGGTTTGTATGTTGTAGTTTGAAAAGTCGTTTACTAATAACCGCAGTGAAAAGCGAGAGCGATTTATTGTTCATTCGAAATCGATCGAGAAGAAAAATTTCCCGACTTAGCAATAAACTTCCATTATCCAAAATTCTGAAGTATCGATTTATGCAAAAAACACCAATGATACAAAACGTGTGAAATGATGTAATAATGCAATAAGCGAGGACATAAAAGAAATGTCTCTCAATTAGTATTGGTAATCTGGAAATGCGTCTTCTGAACCGATGGGCTCGAATTCGAAGGTTATGAATGTTTGTGATTGTAAAGTTTTGCTCGGAGGAGGCATATTCGAAATCCCCCGATTTGAAGATTTTTTCGAAGAGTTGGTGTTGTCGAGTGAGGGATAAAAGACTTTCGTATTCCAGGAACCAATATAATCTCAATTGGGATGAACCTTAATTGAAGGCGTACTATCATCTGTGGTGATCAAAGTCGGTATAAAGGCCAACGCACCGCTCATAAGTATCCTTATTTATTTGAAAATGGCAAAACACATGAGGACTACTTAAGGGCAAAACTGCTTTCGATGAAATTGGCTAAAAGTAATTAGCTGGTATTTACTTTACACATGGGCTAAATCATGAAAGAATATAACCACCTTGACAACATTAGAAGAATGCACGGAGAAAACCTCTAACCCAGTGCTCGAACTTGGTCGAATTGAGACAGCTCAACAGTTTCATCCATTCGACCATTGGAAACCATGATTGTTACTAAGCTTTATTCTTATGTCTAATTCTAGTGAAATATCAACAAACGGAATAAGCAGCTTCTTTAGGTAACTTCTTCTCTTAAAACATAGTAATGTATTTTTAATTTTGTGGGAAATGCAATGACAGCGTGATAAAGGTTCTTATATTTTTGTCTCTTAACCCCTTCTTGTATATTAAAAAAATACTTGTCTTGCCTTTTCCTTATCGAAAAGCGTTCCAGTTTACTGGGTAAAATTTTAAAAATTAAATTATAAAAATTTCAATTTATTAAAATTATTTATTAAATTTTAATTTTAATTCAATTAATTAAAAATATTTCAATTTTTGAAAAAAAAAGGCGAACATTAGTTTTAGCGTTTAGTTTTCCTTGCTAAAAGTGGTATAACGAAAAAAAAAATATTTTTGGTGTGTGTGTTTCGTTGAAATTCTAAAGTTTTTAAATGCGTTAAAATGGTTCTTATTATTACTTATCAAGAAAAATCACAAGAAGAATATAAAATTTATAATTCAAAAGAAATATGATGCATGAATATACGCTTTGTTTGAAATCAAATTTGTAAACTGTAAATGTAATAAACTATTTCAGGGAATTTTTGCAGGCTTCCACAACGGTATTTCATCACCAATAGGCAGATAATTTCACTTACTTTGTCGTAATATAAATTACTTAAGTACTTTTTCAATGTAGATGAAGTAAGAGAAAACACAAATATTAGCTTAAGTTATTATGAGAAGATAAGGTATTTTCTACATTTAAAATGGAAGAAAAATTCCAGTCTGAGATCTCCATTTCATTTTCGTATCAGTATGAGTATCGCTTTCTATAATCAAGCAACAACATATATAAAAATCATTAAATACTCTTAAATATTTTAACTGCTCAAATTTTAGTTCAAATAGTTGGAAAAATTCGCAAATATTATTCTGATAAAGCGCTGAGCAATTTCAGAATGCTTAATAGGCAGTTCAAAGACAAAGGTAATTGTCAGTTTTATGCTTCCCATTTCATCG